GTTGTTTAGTTATTATTATATTTAGTCGTATAGTTATGTATNTATGTATAGTATATANATATATATANATATATATATATATATATCTATGTATCTATGTATCTATGAATCTATGTATATATATATATATATATATACTATGTATGTTGGACATATTGGTTGAGGACATTCTTAATCCTGTTCAAAATCTTCATATGGCGATATAAATATATTTTGATTTGCGTGGAGACATAAAATCGTAGGTTTAGGCTTCTGCAAAAACGTGTCCTTGGCTCGAAATAGTTTAAATCATGATAGATACGAGGCAGTATACTGAGGTGAACCATTGTGTTGGTTTGAGCCACCTTGACGGGCGGGCACTTTAAAAATCTCAGCTGACAATTGTGACTTTAGAAAAAGATTATAGTCCACGATCACATGTTTTTACAAACACTTTGGACTTTCTCTTCCGCGCGGACTACTGAATGTTTGCCAATTTAATGCTTCTTCCTCTTAACAGCCAATCAACGATAGATAAGATCAAATTCTTGAAACATGGCAAAAATTCTGCTATCCAGACAACTATTGATCTCCGATATATACCAAGGGTAAGCCTGCTTTCTAGAACTGGTGTATCTGTCGTTCGTATAGAGTTTGGGTGACGCGCTTAAATTTTCTTGTGTGGAAGTATCCGACTTCTGCTGTCGTTAATCGTTTAGAGGAACTGCTGACCTCTCCTGTTTTAATTTTTTGTCTCAATATAGAATACTAGCTTAATTTATCCGTGTGAGGCGCTACTGAGTCCCCGATGTCTTACTAGATAGCGGACGACGTATTTCAGTTGATAAGCGCATACCACTATCTGACCGCCAGATCTGTGTATCCCCGTGGTATATGTGTAGTAGTCTTGTCACAAAGGTCTCGTGGTATGATGTGGAGACTACATTCTCATATTCAGTGGTTACATACTAACCCATACAGACTTGGGACTTGCTTGCTCAATTTGTTTTTTATATATCCTGGCCATAGGCGTATGGCGGCGAGAGCAATCTGGAAATCACGGCAGAACAGGCCAAGGAGTTCACTGCCGAGACAATCCACTACGGCTGGGTTGGGCCGGATATGGTGCCACTAATCAATGACATTGAGGACATCACTCCATAATAAATATGTTGTTGTACCGCTAACAAACCAGGAGGACATCAGTATTACGTACTATCAAAGTATCCATAAGTTTGTTGGCACAACCTCACAATCGAGGAGACTTTAAAATCAAGCCAGTCATATACGTGCTTGTCATATACGTAAATGCCGTGGGTGATTGTGTGGAAACTTATAGTATACCATGGTCGTAAGACGTAAAGCGACTAAAGTTCAGCGCCGGCTGCGGATCATACAAGACCTGGTTGGAGAACCAATAGTCAAGGCGGTTCCAGTTGTCGTACTAGAAGCATGGTTTGTTTCGGTGAGTTCGGAACAGAAATTAGCGTTTCTATCGCCACGCTGGGTGTAAAGTTTAGATATTACATAAGCTGAAATAGTATGGGCAGTGCCCCTGTAACTAGGCTCGCGGGAGTGTACATGTACCAATTGTCTGGTGAACAATGCAGCACAACTATGTCAGTGACTCGTCATCAAACCTTATTGTTTACGGTAGCCCCCAAGAATTGTTAGTTTACGAGGTCAAGATAATAGTACGATCTGAATAAGAGTAGTCTTTCAGGATCTACAGTATTAATCCTATTGTCCTCATATAATATTTCTTAGCTTCATTTAAACTGCAAAATCATCTCATTGTTACACTCATATGGTTTGTATACTGGCTTGAGCCAATTATTTTCAAAGTCCATATACTATGAATCAATATTGTTTGGTAAAACTATAATCATAACGCCCAACTGTAGAGTGTGAGAGTAGCTGGAAAGACACGACAACAGAAAACAATACTCCACTTTTCAAGCACGTTTATCTCATCTAGGAAAAGCCCTCTGGTTTTTGAGAACGCATTGAGTTTTAATTTCTGATTTGTATTTTCTAATTCACTCGACTCGGATTTTACTTGTGTTTCTCTCACGAGGGAACCCGGGAGGTGCCGGTGTTCCCGCATTATGGCTATATTTATTATGTATACTGAACATATGAAAACTAAAATGAAGTCACTGTCGTGATTAATATGTATATATATATATCTGTATATA